TGTGTGTGTGTGTGTGTGTGTGTGTGTGTGTGTGTGTGTGTGTGTGTGTGTGTGTGTGTGTGTGAGTGGATGGCGTGTAGGCACGGGAAATCAGAAGAACACCACTTCCCAAATCAGGTGCAGACAACATGGCAACCCGTTTCTCTGTCACGCTCGATAGCTTCTCCAACCCCACTCCTTTCACACAACAATCACACACCCACACCCACACCCACACACCCACACCCACACCCGCACCCACACCACACACCACCACCACCACCACCACCACACACACACACACCCACACACACACCTACCTCTGGTGGCCTTTGGCTTGTCGCTCAGGCTGAGGCGGTCCAGGCTGTAGCGGCAGGGCATGCACGAAGACAGCATGGTGTGAGTAGCAGGATGGTATCAGCGACGACAACGAGACGCAATGTGAGAACAACAGCAAACGCGTGTTTGCGTGCACGTCCACTCGCTGACGCCCACGATAGCAACACACGCCGGATGTCCCACCCAGTTGGGCTGCGCTGGCCCGGCTCCGAATCAAAGTAGCTGCCGCTGGCACAGGAGAAAGGCCGGTGAGATGGAGGAATGAGGCGTAATTGCAGCATGATTGGGGCGTAATGGCAGCGTAGTTGCAGCAAGACAGACACACACACACACACAGAAACATACCCAGACAGACAGACGCGTAAAGACACACACACACACACACAGAAACATACACAGACAGACAGACGCGTAAAGACACACACACACACACACACACACACACACACACACACACACACACACACAGAAACATACACAGACACACATGCAACGGAAGAGGCAACCTGGGCGGTGCGTGCCCCTCCTCCTGCTCAATGACGCGCATGGTTGATCGCGCCGAGTGGGAGAAGACGCTCCCCTTTGCGCTGCCGGCGCCCAGGCCCATCCCAAGCCTCTCCGCTTGCTCGCGCTTCTTCTGCAGGGGTGATGGACGCAAGCGAGTGAGTGAGTGAGTGAGTGTACAAGATAGTCACGATCAGGGCATGTGACATCTTGCTACGCCACGATCAGGGCATGTGACACGTCCTCTACAATCGCCCATGCCCGCACCTCGTCCATCTTTGTGATTTCGCGCTCCGTGTATGTGAGACGGGAGGCAATCGTCTCCTCAGACTCCTAGCAGCAGCAGCAGCAGCAGCAGCAGCAGCAGAGGTAGCATGGTGGTGGTGACACGTGAGGTGGTGCCAACCGCACAGGCACACACTCACAGACAGACAGACAGGCATACGCAAACACACACACACACACACACACACACACAGACATCACCTCGACGGAGACGGCCTGCTTCTGCGCATCCTCCTCGCGTTTCTGCAGTCGCGTCTCGGCCGCCGCAAACTCGGACTTGTCCACTTTCCGCGCACCGAGGCCCCCGCTGCACGGTGATGGTTCATGGTTGGTTGGTGAGAGAACATATGATCAGCAACAGCATGGCAAGAACACGGCAGCAGCACAACATGCATTCGAAACAATACGACAACTACATGAAGACATGCATGAAAGCACTGATGACACGGGTACAGGCCAAACACCACCGCTACGGCCATCGTCAATGGTGGTGCAACTCACGACTTCTTCCTTCCGCCGCCAAGGCCACCGCCCTTCTTGCCCAATCCAGCAGACTTGCGCCCGCCAAGGCCAGCAGACTTGCGCCCGCCAAGGCCAGCCTTCTTCGCCTGCACGGCGACGGCGGTGATGGTGATGGTGATGGTGATGTGAGAGTGGTGTTAGATCGTTCGCATTCATCCAGTCAAAACAGGAGTATGTGTGTGTGTGTGTGCACAGGTGGCACATAAGCCCAGCAAGCAACGCAGCAACACAACACAACACAACACAACACAACACAACACAACACAACACACCACAACACACCACAACACAACACAACACAACACACCACAACACAACACACAACACAGCATCGCACACGTGCCCGCCCCCTTTGCCCGCACCTCTGCCTTTGGCTTGTCCTTGGCTTCGTCGTCACCGTCCTTGCTCAGCTGCCACGACGAGGAGTTGCTTGCATCTGCGGGCACGAATGTCGTGTCCACGGCCTTTGTTGGCACGTGCCGCCCCTCGCTGTGGTCGTTGTCGAAAAAGTCCTCCTCGTGCTGCCCAGTCTGCAATCAGGTGGATGGAGGGTGGTGGTGCGTGTTATGATGGTGTTGTGTGCGGCGTGGTGTAAGTTGATGAGTGTAAGTTGATGAGTGTGGCCGTGTGTGCGCGCGTGTGTGGTGGTGTGGGAAAGCAACCGATATGCAGTGTGCAACGGCGAGCAGTCAAGGCAACACGAGCGTGCGCACCTTGTCGTGGTGTTCGTCCTCGACCACCTTGTTGCCAAGCCGCCGCTGCAGTGCAGCAGCTGACACGTGCACACACACACACACATACAGAGGCAAAAACGAAGGTGAAAAGCAAACAACAAGGCGTGTGAGCGAGTGTGTGCGTGTGTGCGTGTGCGGGGTGAACAACAAGCCAGTGCATGCGCGCAGAGATGCGTGCCATTCATCATTCCATGTGAACGAGGGGTTATGCTGCATGCAACGCACCGTCAGCCTCAATCTTCTGCCGGTACAACTTGGCGGCGCGGCCAGAGTACTTGCTGTTGGCGTCCTGTAGAAGTTTTGTGTGTGAGTGTGAGTGCGTGTGAGTGAGTAAGTGAGTGAGTGTGTGTGTTTGTTCGTATGTGAGTGTGAGTGCGTGTGAGTGAGTGAGTGAGTGTGTGTGCGCACAATGTTGTTGTCTTGGGTATGCGACATCAAGCCACAACCGCCTTCATGATATACGCCCCCTTGCGTGCGTCTCAAGTTCAGCAGTTGCCGTACCGATGTGGCGACGCCGTGCTGCTTGAAGAACGCCCTTGCCCTAGCATTGCCGCCAACCTGTAAATCAACATGCATGACGGGCACAGCACAATGTGAAGGTGTGTCCCCCGTCAAGCATCATTCGCCACAAGCTGAGTGCTTGCACTTGAGCCCATTCAACTGCACCGCACCGTCCAGCTCTCTTTCTCTATCTCTCTCTCTCTCCCACAACACACACACACACACACACACACACACACACACACACACACACACACACACACACACAAAACACACGCACACACCTGCATGTGCCTGAGCTGGTCCAACGTCCAGGAGTCAAGCTTGGAGGAGCGGACAAATGACAAGTGCACACCCAAGTTGCGGTGCACACCGGAGCAGTTGTAACACAGAAAGATGCCTGTGTACGGGTGAGAGGGTTGGGGGGAAGGGGTTGTGAGCGCAGGACGAGCAACACGTGTGCGTGCGGTCGTGATGCGATATGGATAGGCGGCAGCGAGTCAACATTGATGACACATGTGCAACAACCAAAGTCACAGCACGCCAATGCAACACCCACCGTAGGGGATGGAGGTCCATGTTGGCGTCTTGGAAGGGCAGTCGAAGCACACCTGCAACAAACAAATGCAATGAGCGGCACATTGTTGTTGTTGTTGTTGTTGTTGTTGTTGTTGTTGTTGTTGTTGTTGTTGTTGTTGTTGTTGTTGTTGTTGTTGTTGTTGTTGTTGTTGTTGTTGTTGTTGTTGTTGTTGTTGACATCATCCTGTGCCAATCCACGCCGAAGACAGACCCGCTTCCGACACAACAACACACACACAAACACACAGACACACACACAGACACACACACACACACACACAGACACACACACAGACACACACACACACACACACACACACACACACACACACACACACACACACACACACACAGACACACAGACACACACACACACACACCTTGTTCTCGGGACGAGAGCAGAGGCGCTTGAACACGAGATCGCGGTCCTCGTTCGGCACTTCCATGATGATGGTTGGCAGTGGTGGGTCGTCTGCTTCGTTGGCTGATGGCTGCTGGCCGCGACAACAACAAAAAGAAGGAAAAGCAAAAAATAAAATTGTGATGGTTTTGCGACACCACAAAGCGCATTGTCGACCAAACGCGTTTGCGCGCGCAGCTTTTTTGCGCAGTGGGTGATATGGCTGTTGTGAGTGGCGCGGCAGTGGCGCATGCACTGGCACGCAAGCACAACGTACACGTGTCCGTGGCCTTTGCAGCCGCCAACACACAGCATGTGAGTCCACTTGGGGAGAGGGTGTGCTTGTGTGGTTGAATGTGGTGTGTTTGATGTGACGCTGTGAGTGATGCATGGAACAGCTTGTACAGCGACGTGCGAGTTAGAATGACTCATGCTCACGACACACACACACACACACACACACACACACACACACACACACACACACACACATACACACACCAACCACATCAACCACTGCACTGCAGGCGTCGTCGGTGGATGCTGCCGTGGAAGCAGTGTATGAGTCGTGGCTGAGGTCGGATATCCACGGCACCGTGGATGCGGGTTCCTTGCACGCAGCTGCAACGCTTCCAACCTTGCCGGAAACGGGCAAATCGGCGCTTCCGCACGACTTTACCTTGCAGGTCAGTGGGTGCGCGCGCGCTTTTTGTTCATGTGCTCCAGTTTTGTTTCAGCCTTCCACCCAAATACACACACACACAGACACACACACACACACAGACACACACACACACACACACAGACACACACACACACACACACACACGAGCTGACTTTCCCTCTTGTCCTTGCGATCATCATGGCACTTGTGTCCCCCCCCCTCACACACACACACGCAGGTGGACTCCATTCTGGACGTTGGGGAGAGCGCATATTCACAGCTGTCCGAGTGCCGCAAGCGTGCCGGGTTTGCGTCGCGTGGCGCAGACACCGCACTGCCAGGAGATCAGCAGGATGAGGACGACGGCGCCATGGGTGCGTCGCAAGCGACACAAGCAGCGACACAAGCAGCAACACAAGCAGCGACGCAGCGCCGGCGCACGGGAAAGCAGCTGCTGAAGATTAAGCTAACCAACGGCGTGCAGTCGATCGTT